CACGCAGCGCTGGCGGCTGCTCGTATCAGCCAGTATAGGCCAGACTGGACAACAAGGAGCAATCCAATTTACACCTCGTCTCACAGGTGACACAGCTGTTGCAGCCAAATTTCACACTCACCAAGAGCAGTCTATTATCAGCCACTGAAAATAAACACCATCCCCCAAATAGAAAAGCTGCTCTGAATCCTTTATTTTCACTTAGTGGCCACAAATCAATATTCTTTGTAACCCACTTGGAAATTGATAGTTAATTGTTTAAGGTTAAAATAATGTATGCAAATTTTCCCATTGTGGGACTAATAAAAGATTATCTTAATCTTAATGTTTTGGAACTGCTCTTGTGATTGGAAAATATCTTATTAAGTTCAGAAAATCCGAGCACAATTATTAACATAATTATTGTAAGAGTACATATTGCTCGGTTAGTATATCAGTTGTATACTATTTTTCATGATGCATTATGGGAAACAATGAGTGTACTAAATAGGTATAAAAGGTATAATAGGTATAAAACATGTCACTAAAGATTCGGACAACACTACTAAATAGTGCACTTTATAGTGATTAGAGAGAGATTTCGGACACAGCCCAGGAAAAAAGCCTCAAAGCAAAACAGGAAATAATGAACTAAAGTTGCAAGTAAAAGAAATTGTCTCAAGGCCATAAACACAACAAGAAATCCAAGAAAAGAGTCACAAAGGAATCCAACATTCATTAGCAGTAAACTATTCAAAGAAAAACGCGTCAGTTAGTGCATCATGAAGCAGCTACAGTAGAAGAGACAACAGACCCGAGAGCAGATAAAAGAAGTGTGTCGGTATTCATGTAGTCAAAGATGTGACAAAATGCTCAATTAAATTAACCGCTGGTTGGGTTAGCCATTGAAACTAACTTCTGTTGTCAAAACAATGATCCAAAGGATTCATAGATGTTTTAGCTCATCACTGCAGAGATGAATGAATGTACATTTAATCAAAAGTCTGCTCATCAGGCAAATTTGCATCGAGGCAAATCAAAACAGATACGGCCGTTTAATAAATTAGGTTTTAGATATTTAGATGATACTCAGATTAGAACCGATGCATAGAAGACAAATATATGGGCGAATTGGAATTTTTCCTTTTCACACCCAGTCATCTTGTGCCTCATAATTCCCTGTGCTTTTACTCTCTATCATGTCCCTTGCATGTTTATAATTCTTCAGAAATACATGTGGTAAAGGATAAGATTATGATTACAAACAGTCCTGGCTCTTGAGAGATACACAGGAACCAATGAATTTTCTAATCTGAAACACACAGTTTACATAGGATAGCCTTTACCACAGCAGATAATACACCCTCATTCACAACAATATGCCCCCATCAGTTAATCTTGCTCTGTCTTATGTAGCATTACCTATATGCTCACAGAATGTGGATCAGTGACACTGAAGTTAAACTCCACAGTTATTGGAGGACATGAGGGGGCAAGTCAGTCCTACACCCAGCATGGTGGAGCCTGCTAATGGGATTGGCAGAGATGGGCTAAATGTTGGTTCCATCAATGAAGACAGACTTCTCCCCTCAGGTAGCCTATCAGGAATCTGATCACGACCCAGTTTTCATTGGAACATCAATCCATGAGGTCTGTCCCATGTAATAGTGTGTGTTAGTGAAGCATGAAACTATGGCCGTCAGTGAACGTTAAGTTCATATATTATCACACCCACATACACAGAGAGATGAAGGGTATGGAAATCACTCTATTGCAAGGAGTTGACACTTTATCAATTAAATTAATCTGCAGAGCCTTGTCCTATAAAAAAAAACAGATGGTGCAGAGACAGTGTACACTTATGATGATAACAGGTTTTTAATGTGGCTGTGGCTCTTATGGTAACAAACGCTGTTCAAAATAAAAACAGACCTGACTGTGTGTTTTATTGATAATGCTCTTACATTTTTTAAGGGTGGTTATTCTGCTCATCTCTTCACATATTTCAGCCAAAAAAAGTTCTGGAAGCAAAATAATTGACCTGGAATCACTTAAAACTTCACAATCATGTTTTTTATAGCTTTTATTCTGTCCCAAAGACATATAGGCCATGGGACATGTCTAAATGCAAATCATACCACACTTCACTCTCTCATGCTCTCCCTAACTCAGCTCTGCAGGGTGAGCCAGCAGATTAAAAGGGAGCAAGAAGTGCAATCCTGTTGAAGTGGCATTGTTAATGAATATACCTTACTGTGTCTTAGAAAATACAACTTAAACCTTAGGAGGGAAGAAATGACTGCAGAATCCATGCCTGTAGCTGCTCTCAGATGAAACGCACGTTGTGAAACAAAAGAAAAAACAAAAAAATCCCTTCCACAATTACAATCCATAAAAGCTACAGAAAGACGGAGACGATGGGAGATGGACAGCTGCTCGGTGACGGTTGCACACAGTTGTGAGTTTGTGGTGAAGATTTGCAGCGTGCTCTCAGCAGGAAGTTTATTGCACCTAAATGTGCAATGTGAATGGAATGAGGAAACCCAAGGGAGATGGCCTAGATATTTATATGACTTCCAAAGCTACTAGTAGCCCACAGGAACAATTTATATAGAGCAGTGTCCAAACGTGGTCTCAGACTTTCAGACCCTGCACGGCGTGTGTGTGTGGAAGTGCGTGTGCATAACTCAGTTTATTTCCTTCTTTAACTTCACAAAACAATCCCTCATGTCCCCAGTTATACTTAGCAGTAAAGGAGTTGGTGGTAAAACTCAACTGACGGGCCTATAAAACAGAACAGCAGGTGGGAATAAAAAGGGAAGGTGGTAGAGGACATCTTTGTTGGGCCATCTTCTCGATGAGATTCTTATTTCCGTAATCCTCTCACATAAGCCAGGCACTTTAAATCTTTTCTGTCAAAGAGTACCCTGCTTTAATGATACAGAGAGATGAAATCCACAGTAAATGTCTTTATGCACCCAGAAGTGAAATGGGTGCAGTTCACTCATCACAGCATCAGGAAAGACATTCAAAGTCATCTTGCAGCAATGCTGAATTTACACTACATCCTAAATAATTAATAATCTATTTACAGTATTATTATCTTGTGTTTGTTTCTTTTATTTTGTGTTTTCTCCCTATAAAGCACATTGGGTACCCTGGAAGGCGCTATACAAACCCAAATTATTATTATTATTGTTATTATTACAGTTTATATACTTGCACTGCCAATTTCACTACAGAATGAGGAAATATAGTTTTGAGAAACTTCCCATACACAGGGGCAGCTTCTCTGCACAAAAATCGGTTCAAAATCCTTTAATCTTATTTTATCTTGTCTGCAATTTGTGTCTTAAACAGCGAAGGGAAAATACAAAAACAGACTGAAAGTGATTAATATGAGATAAATGAGGCTCAGCTACTGTCAGACTTCATACTTTGTTTACACATTATGAACGCTTGGGCTTTGCCAAAAAAGTATTTAAGTAAATTTGCAACTCAATTTAAGGCAATTTACTAATTATGAAGTATAACATGTCCTTTATGAGTCTTGTCTATGTCTTGGCTGGGTTTTAAAATGTGTTAGATTATTTAAACTTTTCTGGAACTTCTGCTTTACCTGACATTAGTGCATAAAACTGCTTCACAATAAACTTTAAAGGAACACTGTGACACTTATTTGCTTTCTTGTTATAAGAGAGGACCAACATCACCCTCATACTGTATGGTAAAAAAAAGTTAGCCTAATCTCGCTTTGAATAAAGACGGCAGCCAGGTTACTCTTCAGGGTGAACAGTTGGGTCAACTATCTGCTACCGGAAGCTTCATATGAGAGTTTGGTGATGTAAAGGTAATCCAGTCTCTCAGTGTATTTGAAAAATAGCAACGTGTCTGTTTCATTATTATTATCATTACTGTCATAAAAGAAGATTATGCAACGCAATGTGTGCATTTGTAGCCAACTATAAATGCCTTGAGAATAATTGTCTGTGTGGTTGAAGATGCTGTGAAAGTGATGACAGAACCCAAAAGATGTAATACATAGAAAACGTATCAAAAAAGTCTCAAGACATTATCATGTGCGTATTGTGACAGCTTCATGTGTCACATGAAAGCTCCTCCTCAGAACAGTAAAAACAGATGGTGAAAGCCAATGAGTTATTTGCACTGTATCTGCATACAAGTTTTACATGTATTGTTCATAGATGTGTTATCGTTGACATTTCTGTAGCCACCTTATTGAAGGGAATGTAGTGATTGGCAGCTCTCTGTGTTTTCTGTACACCACGGGAAGGTTTAACATAATCAGGAATTTGAACCCCACCTCATATTTAGCTATCGGCAAGAAAGAAAAGACATTAAACATGTACCCAATGGGAGTCGCATTACATTATGCACACACACACACACACACGCACGTCTTTCTTAAGTTGTGAGAACACTCAATGACAACAACAGCTTTTTGAAGTTGTAACGACTATAGAAAGATATAAATAAACACACACACACACACACACACACACACACACACACACACACACACACACACACACACACACACACGCACACACTGGTGTTACAGAAACCTGCCGTAATCTCAAACTCAAACTGCAGACTACTGAGCCGTTCCATTGGAGCTGCAGGGGGTTAAGTGTCTTGTTAAAGTGTGATTTGATAGAAGTGGATGGTTCATTAGGCAGTTCATTTACTGTTTATACAGTATCTACAATGGGTATATCTATCATATCAGCTATCATAACTGTGTTGGTGCTGAATTCACACTTGGTGCTGAAATGCTCAGTTTTCAGGGAGAGATAAAAAATGATGCAGCTGGATGAGTGAAAGCCAGGCCAGCAGTCTTAGCAGCTAAAAACCTGCTCTGCCACATTTCAGTGCAAACAGGTTCTGCCAGTCAGATCCTCCCACAACAGTGTAACCTACTGTGTATATGACTTCACATGCCTTTCACACAGCCACTGATTTTAATGTGTATCTATGCTCTGCTACTCTCCTTTTCCCAGCGTGACGCTCAACCTCCTGCGGCCCCTTCTGATCGATGCTGATCTGCAGGATAAAGCAGGTTTATGTGTGGGATTAGAGACTGTGTTGTGAAGGGTTATGTCTGAGAGGACCTCTGTACTCATGGATTGTTTCGACGGATCCTCCGGGGAGTTCAGGGACTTCAAGAAGGGCGACTTTGAGGCTAACTGGATTAAAGTGGCAGAATCCAGATTTGGTCAGGTGTACCAGGTCAAGCTCAAACTCTGGCGGGAAAAATGTGCTCTGAAAAGCATTGACACAACCATGTGTCCAAAGAACTTTTACAGGTAGGATTTAAACTATATAAACACATATATGTTATTATATTGGCACAGATCGGAACATAACAAAGATTTGGTCATTTGCTCTTTGCTTTTACAATGTTAACAAAAGGATATTGCCTGTGGTCAAAGTAGAACAAAAAAAACCTTTTAATTCCCAAAGCTCTTTCACTGACCATTACTTTTTCCATCACAGAAGAATAACAGACGAGGCATCCAACTTCGTCAAAGTGAAATTCAAATACATCATGTCCATCTATGGGCTGTGTAGTGAAGCTACTGCTGTGGTGATGGAGTACATGAGCAATGGATCACTTAACAATCTCCTAGCCAGTCACACGTTGATGTGGCCAAAGAAGTTCCAGATGATTCATGAGGTTTCCATGGGAATGAATTTCCTCCACAGCATGAAACCTCCGCTACTTCATCTTAACCTCAAGACGTCAAACATCCTACTGGACGATCATCTCCATGTCAAGGTCAGGGAAACTCAGAAAAATGTAAATGGTCACAGTGACCTCATGATGATTCTTAGCTTTGTGTAACTGTGGAGTTCTTGTTTTTATCTTCAAAGATTTCAGATTTTGCTTTGATCCACTGGGAAGAGGGAATGAGCAAGAAGTTGTTCATGGAGCATCTGACAGCAAGAGGGAACATAAGTTACATTCCTCCGGAGACGTTCACTCAGTGTCCTGATCCACCAGGAACTAAATTTGATGTTTACAGGTGACTTGCCATTTTGGGAATTGCACCATAAAAGAGACAATCCACATTTCACAAGGTGTAACCTTGCACTCAACTGTATAATTGTTTTTAAATCTGATCATTTTAAAGTGACTTCTGTATAAAAGGGGGATTTACATTCAATTGTCTGAATCAAGGAAATGAAAGAGTGAGAGAATTAGAGCTGAGATGCTTTCTCTGCTTTGACCAACAGCTTTGGAATTGTGATGTGGGAGATACTGACACAGCAGAAACCGTATGCAGGTAGGTCGTGAATTCATTTGAAATGTGTCATATCTTCACATCAAATAGATTTATAGGTGTAACTTCCGCAAGGAGTCACATTGTAATTGAGTGTTTCGACAGTGTTCCTCACTTAAATAGCATAAAAGGTCAAGGCAACTTTCCAGACAGGGAATCAAAATATGAACGCAATACAACTAAACTGTTGTCATGTCCCAAATGTTGTATATAAGCATAGAAAGTGACAAAAAAATTAATCTCAACTCAAACTCAAAATGTGTGACAAATGTCTACCTACTGGTATCCAGGCCTTCACTTAAATAATGTGCTGAAAGACGGGTGAAAGATTAAAGGAACACCCTGAAAATGAGTGGAAAAACAGGATGACAGAGCATCTCCATATTGCACAAGAGATCACTGAGTATGAAAGCTATGATCATATTCTACTGGTCGCACTTTAACACTAACCAAACATTTTGGACCCACAAGACAGCTCTCTCTGCTGCCATCAAACACTTCCAGTAGAGTTCCAGAAACTTAGACTCAGAGACGAATGACGAAATGAATTGAAACCACATCCCTCCACAAGCACCGATTATTTAAACCTAAGGGAGCTTTCACAGCTACCTTTGGAATATTCAGTTTAGTCCAAACCAAAATAACAGGTGTGAAAGGTGCCTTGGACCACTGTCCACTCCAGTGGACCAAAATTTAGGCCAACCAAAACAGACTGTCTTGGTCCGGATCAAACTGAACCATGTTTTGGTTCTTTATAGTGTGAAAACGTTTCTTTCGGTAGTACAGACTTTTGTACCAATGCAGTAGGGTGAGACATCATTAAACAATAGAAGAAGAAGAAAAAGCTGAAGCAGCTGATAGGATCGCTTGTAGTCTTTGCCTCAAACGACATAAAAATGTGAATGTGAATTTTGCTGGTTGTAATACCAGAATAATATTACAGTGGCATCAAACTTAATATTTTTTCTCCATTCAACGGAGAGACTGCTTTATTTGTAGGCACTTTATTCAGCTAAGTTAGTGAAGACAATAATAAACAAGAAGCTGGTGTCAGGTGCACAATCATCTACAATGTATAGTTAGACGGAGCCCACATAGGTGATGATGACAGGATGTATATAAGAAGAGAAAAAAAAAAAAAAAAAAAACTTGTCAAAACTCATCATTTAACATGTCAAACAGGTTGACGTGGTGTCTTCGGTGAATGTCTAATGCCATCCTGTGATGTGAAGTTGAAGAAAGAATGTTTAACCTGAGTGCAACAAAATCTGGTCTGCCCCCCCCCCCCCTGGCAAAATGTATTGAGGCTGTGTAGAAACAAGTGAAGACCTGCTCAGCTGCTGTGGCTGCTCTCTCTGCATTTCTTCTTCTCTGTTGTACCTCGTGTCCCATATCTCACATTTTTTGGCCCAGGGTGCAGCGTGACCAAGGTGCTCTTACAGGTATCACATGGGAAGAGACCCTGTATGGAGATGATACCAGAGGAGAAGCCCTGCGAGTGTGATCCCATGATCAGCATCATGCAGACGTGTTGGGACCAGGATCACAGGAAAAGGCCACTGTTCTCAGGTGCTGAAGTAAAAAAAGAAAGAAAACAGTGCTGATGTTTTCTATTGGAATTCATGACACAGTGTCATTTACACCATGTTTTTAGCCAAAATGTCCGCTGTTATCATTTTCCGAATCCGTGAACATTTAGGCTTAAAACATGGTGTACATGTACTCATATTTGGGTAGATGTTTCTGCTTTGGACCTCATATGTGATGCAGGCATCTGCTCTCAAACAAGAAAAATCAAGAGTGAGAATGTTGTAATGCCCGAGTGAAGCTTGAGGAAGTCAAAATAATAAATCTAACTAAATGTTTATGATACTCACCGCTATTATTATTGTACCTATGAAGGATTCACTTGTAATTCATGCATGACTGTTCATTCGCTGAAGTGGCAGAATTATGAAAAGATCCCACTGGGTTTGAGAGCTGCAAGTATGGGAATACATTTGTTTGATTAGGCAAATTCCGATCAATCCTTGACACCTGTTTCTTTTTCCTTTTTTCAGACACTGTGATGAAAACGGAGGCTCTGAATGAAGTCCTGAAGATTCCAGGACCAGTCCACTGTCACCGAAACGGAGATAAAGAACAGACGCCTGATTATTCTTGGCTCGTTCCACTGATACATGAGGTGTGTTCCACTTGATACTCTGCTTGACTGATACTGTGAGATCTGCTGTCTCTGCTCCAACTTTGGCAATATGGGCAGCTCAGAGCAATCAAGAGTTTGGGAAAAGATTTACTTTGTATAAGTGATTACACTCAAACTAGCATGTGAGGATAGGCAGAGTTGATGTGCTGTGTTATAACTCTGTGCCATTAACATTTCAGAAGATATCATTGTTTCTTATATCCATTGCAAGCAAACATCTATAAACCCAGTTTGAAGCCAGATGATGAACAATTTTTGTCAGTGGAGTAGCTAATCCCTCTGTACCATAGGGATTTGTTGTTTTGGAATAGGCGATGGAGATGATGTGCAGCTAGAGGGGCCAAACTGGGGTTTACCTAAACTAGTGATGCTAGTGATGATTTTGTCCATTTTCAACTGGGCTGCAGAGTGGAGATTGTATTATTTTTACATCAATGCTTTCTTCATTGAGTTGTGGGCAGGAAACATCTAAAATTGAAGAGTTGTGACAGTGATGTTCTTCTTAATCCCACTGTTTATTTTATTTGTGCTATTTGCTATTCAACTAAATATTGTAGTATAAGATGAAGTAGTGGATAAGGTTTGGTGCCACAAGGCTACCTAGTACTTTTACATTTTGAATGACTTCATAAGTTCCATAAGTTATTCATCTGAGGCTGGGTTTTTCATTTTAAATGTAGTGTTTCAATAAATGGTAAGAAATTTATAAAAAGTGAACAGGGTTGTGAAAGAAAAAATGGTGTGAAAAAATAGGGGCTCATACACATCAGTAGGCTTCATTCTCAACCATGAAAGACTCTGCAAATTGATTTTTAGCAGCTAGTGTGGCTGAAAAGTACAAAATGTACTTTGCATTAATGTGTGCAGATAAGTTATTATAACCAGTGTTAAATTGTTGAGTCATTCATAACATTTAAGGCCGATGCTCATATACAGTATTGATTGATATGTGTGCTTATTAGCCACTTATAATGATTGATGTATCAGCTAATGACTTCTGAGGTATTTTCTTTCTTTCTTTTCCATTTTAGATTACTTTGCCTGAGATGCCTGACATTCCCTCAGGTAAACACATCACTAGTGCAGGAAATCATTTTCAATGCAAAGGTTGAAGGGCTGACATTTAAAAAGTGCAATTTACAGTGCTCTCATATTTGTAATATTACCATTAATACTGAAAGTAAAGTCAACCATCAGTGAAGGAGAGAAAAAAATACATTTTTGTGACCCTCAGATGCATTTTCACAGAACTGCAGGCTGGATTATTGAATAGATGATTCACAGTATGTTTTATTGATCCTTTTATTTCGGATACCAAGTAGAAATATAAATGTATAGGTACATTTGTTCAAAGACTAATGGACCAACATTTCACTGCAACAGCTGATATTGACTGAGCACCACAGGCTCCAGAAACCCAACATTATGTACACAAGCACATGGCTCTCCACCTTGAATGAGACTGATCTATAATAAAGCAAACTTCTTGCAAAGAAAAGTTCTCGTCACAAATTGTAATCATGAGTTGTTGTCTCATAAAATTCTCTTTTGCTTTCATTTCACAGATGAGCTACATGGCACTTACGGCATTCTCTCTCTTT